TGAATTATTCGAAATGATAAATGTACGTTGATGATGTTAAGCTCTTTAAGTACATTAGTAGTGCAGAAGATAGGGAGCATTTGCAAGCTGACCTAATTAGCATTTTCGAGTAGTCTGAAGCCAATTCCATGTCACCCAATTTGAAAAAATTTAAATTCATGTCCTTCTCTAGAAAATCGTTCCACTCAAATTCGTATATGATATCTGACCACAATGTTGAGCAAGTAACTAATTTCATTGACCAAGGTGTAACTATAGATCCGAAACTTGAATTCAAGTCTCACATAAACTCCTGCGTAATTGGGGATAGACGAGTGTTGGCTTTTATTAAGCGCTGGGCTAAGGAGTTCAACGATCCTTATGCCCCTAAAGTTCTTTTTACCTCTCTAGTGAGACCGATTTTGGAATATGCATCTGTAGTATGGAATCCTAGTTATCAAATTCATAGCGACAGGCTCGAATCAGTGCAGAAACAGTTCCTGTCATTTGCCCTAAAAAAATTACGTTGGGACTCGTCTAAAAATCTCCCACCGTACAAAGATCGCCTGAAGCTTATAAATTTGCTGACACTTCAAAGTCGTAGAGAGATGCTTGGGGTTCTTTTTTTAATTAAACTAATGAACGGGATGGTCATTAGTCCCTTTTTACTGAGCGAGATAAATTTTTGTACAAGACCCTCGAGACAATTTAAACCTATAACGTTGAGTAAATGAAACTTTGAAATGCATGATGCTTTTCGTGGTCTATGACAAGATTTTAACAAACATTATGATTGCGTCAACATATCTGAATCGCTTTTTGTAATAAAGAAAACTTTGCTCAACATGTTAAATAAATAAATGAATATCTTTAACCGGGAACAAAAAATTACACAATATCTATGACTGCTTAGTACAATTGTAACGGCTTCATATATTTTCGCGACCGCTTAAGACAATACGAGCATGGATCGGAAACTCGGCCTTTCCGACCAAGCCCAACAGTTCGTCCACACCGCGGAGCGGAAACTAGCCCATCCGCCTGCCTCACATACAAATTAATGACTTCGGGAACATGGATCGGAAACTCGGCCTTTCCGACCATGAACAACAGCTTGTCCACAGCGCGGAGCGGAAACTAAGTCTTTCCGCCCACCGCAGACAGAAGTAGACTGGAGACTAGACGTCGCCAGCTACCCAACTTGCTATTTTATATTGTTATTATTATTATTACAAAGGAATATGTATAATTATTTAGTTTACTCTGTAATATATCATACATACTTAAATATCTAAATCTTTTTATATCATTTTTTCTGTAAGAAAACATTTTTCTGTAGACTTATAAATAAATAAACAAAGAGAAATAAAAATTTCAAGGAGCTAGCAACAGTGTTGCCACTTGTTTGGCATATTAAAATAAAATTGTTCTGAAACCCAACAAAATTTAAATGGCATATAAATAACAATTCAAACTTCTCTCTCTCTGAGGTGGTTACGTCGAGTTTGGCACAAGGATGCAGATTGGCTGTGGTTTTTATGCTTATTGCCAAAACGAAATAAAAATTGCAGATGTACATATTGTGCAAAAATTTATCTAATATATAAAAATCTCGTAGCACGGTGTTAGTGGTCGAACTCCTCCTAAACGGCTTGACCGATCTTTATGAAATTTTTTGTTCATATATGGTAGGTATGAGAATCGGATGTTAAGTATATTTCATACCGCTAGGTGCAGGGGGCGTGGCACCTCCCATACAAATCGAATTTTTCACACTACAAATCTCTGAAAGTGTTCATGGTAGAGTACTGAAACTAGGTATGGAGATATATGAAATCAATCACATGGTCATGAAGAAAAATTGGGGCTATTAGAAAAAGGGCGTGGCACATCCCATACAAACCGAGTTTGTCATACTGTATAACTTTGGAAGTGTTCATGGTAGAGTACTCGAAAATGGTATGGAGATATATGAAAACAAGCGCATACAAACAACACAAATAAGTGCAAGGAGAAAAACTGCGGTTATTGGAAAAGGGGGCGTGGCACCTCCCATACAAATCGAATTTTTCATACTGCACATCTCTGGAAGTTTTCATGGTAGAGTACTGAATCTTGGTATAGAGATATATAAAATCAATCAAGTGGTCATGAAGAAAAATCGGGGCTATTTGAAAAAGGGGCGTGGCACCTCCCATGCAAACCGAATTTTCACACTGCATACCTCTGGCAATCAGGTTCTTCTTTCCTAAAAACTTGTCTCAATTTTTTCTTTTAGAGTTTTTAGTATTTTTGTATGAAAAATCTAATATATAAAAATATCGTGTCACTGTGTTTGTGGTCGAACTCCTCCTAAACGGCTTGACCGATTTGCATGAAATGATTTGTGTATGTTCGGTAGGTATGATAATAGATTGTAAGGTATGTTTCTTATCGCTAAGTGAAGGGCGCGTGGCACCTCCCATACAAACCAAATTTTCCACACTGCATATCTCTGGAAGTGTTGATGATAGAGTACTGGAACTTGGTATGGAGATATATAAAATCAATCGCATAGTCATGAAGAAAAATTGGGGCTATTGGAAAAAGGGGCATGGCACCTCCCATACAAACCGGATTTTTCATACTGCATATCTCTGGAAGTGTTCGTGGTAGAGTACTCGAACATCGTATGGAGATATGTGAAATCAATCCCATACTCTTAAAGAAAATTTGGGCTATTTTATAAGGGGGCGTGGCGCCTTTCAAACGCACTGAAGCTATTACGTATCTTTGTATGCATATACACTTTTGCTAGGTTATTTAAGATGGAAATGAAAATATGCCTTCTCACAACTACCAAACCGTCATATTGGAAGATAAATGCGTCACTGAAAATCATGAACGTGAACTGTTGGTGAAAATGTAGGACCAAAAGGTTTCGATACAAAAAATTAATTTTGGACGGGACGAAGTTCGCCGGATCTGCTAGTATTTTGTATAATATTGTACAGGCAATTAACGGGGATCTTAACTTTGAAGCTCCTAGAGCACAAATTCTGTACCTAAAATTTTCTATATGGCAACACTAATTTTACAGCAGTTTGGACCAACAAAATTAGTTTGCTGTGAGAGTCGCCAAATTCGATCTCTCCGAGTTTGCTGTGTAGGGAATAACAATCCACAAATGAGTTTCTTACAACGCAAAGAATATATTTTTATTAATTAAAACACTTTGAATTGGGTACCCTCGTCGGTTGTGATCAGTTTGGAACATCCGAACCAGTGCGAAAAAAACATTAGCGGCGGTATTCGCTGTGATGTCCCTGCTGGGGATTGCCTGGGGCTATTTAGTGAAGCGGTCAATAATGGTTAAACAGTATTTGAATCCATGGGATTCTGGCAAGGGCCCGACTAGGTCTATATGGACATTGTCGAACCCTTCGTCTGCACTAGGAAATGCAGCAGGTTTTGTGTGTACATACCGGCCTATTGTAGAGCGTTGAAAGGGACGCAGTCACGAGCCCATTTTGTGATGTCCTTATTCATCGATGGCCATACGTATCTCTGGGCAATGATTTTGACCGTAGCTCTGCCACTAGGATGTGCTAAGTTATGTAGCGCTGCATAGACCTTACGACGTAACTGGCATGGCACAAAAGGTGTTCGTGGATACATCGCAATACACTACTTGACGACCAGGTCCAAACGTTAGTGTTTGAAGTTTGAGTGACGTCTCATTTAGATCCCAGAGTTGTTGTAGTTCTTGGTCTTCTGCTTGAGCGCGGGACAATTCATCGTGGTCCACTACTGCTGGTAGGTATATAGTGTCTACTCGCGAAAATTTGTCTGCTACGTTGTTTTCGGATCCACTGATGTATTGAAAGATGGTCGTACACTGGCTGATAAAGCTCAATTGCCTGATTTGTCGCGGAGATAACTTATCAGATTGTTGACGGAACGTGTAAATAAGTGGCTTCTGATCGGTCCTTACCACGAATTCGTGAAATTCGACCCAGCAGCGAAAATTTTTAATTGCCTCGTAAATTGCGGTCCGCTCTCTGTCATAAGTGCTGTAATTCTTTTGTGCAGATGACAGCTTTTTCGAAAAGAATCCTAGTGGATGCCAAAGAGTATTATGGCTTTGCTCCAGGGCAGCACTTACGGCGGTGTCTGATGCGTCGCAAGTGATGCGAATTTCAGCAGCAGGAAAAGGATGTGCTAAAAGAGTGGCGGTCGCGAGCTACTCCTTGATATCAATGAACGCCTGTTCAGCCTCTGGTGTCCAAGGTACTGGTCTCCGATCATTTTTCTTCGAGTCGTTCAAGAACGACGCTTGGACGGAAGCGGCGTTTTGAATATGGCGTCGATAAAAATTTACTGCTCTTATAAATCTTCTTAGCTCCAATAACGTTTTTGTCGTTCGGAAGTCGCGCAGCTCTTGAACTCTATCCGACAATGGTGCTGAGCCAGATGCTGTTATACGGTATCCTAGAAAGTAGACTGTGGGCGAACCAAATACACATTTATCCGTGTTAATGCAAAGGCCAAATTTGCTGAGCCGTTGGAACACTAGGCGGAGGTGTTGTTAGTGCTGTTGTTCACCTGCTGATGTTATCAGTAGATCATCAATGTAATCGTAAACGAGGTCGAGACTTGAGATGGCTTCATTAATGAAACGTTGAAACGACTGAGCTGCGTTTTGGAGTCCAAACGGCATGCTGAGAGGTTCGAATAACCCGAATGGGATAATCACAGCCGTTTTAGGTACATCCTCCTCTGCCACCGGTATGTGGTGAAATGTTCTTTCCAGCTAGGATCGTGGTGTAATCGTGGAGGAGCGAAATTGGATATCGGTCTGGGATGGTTTGCTCATTGAGCCTGCGGTAATCACCGCAAGGTCTCCAGTCTCCATTTTTCTTTTTGGTCATGTGTAAGGGGCTGGCCCATGGGATCCTGGAAGGCCCTGCATGACCTAGTTTGACCATTAGTTTAAATTCCCCTCTAGCCACCTGTAGACGTTCGGGACACAACTGACGTACGTGTTCTACACATGGTGGTCCAGTGATGGAAATGAAGTGCTTAACCGAGTGCTTCTTAGCCGTGCGATTCGACGGGTTACCAAGCAGTTCAGGAAACTCTTTTAGGGCTTCTGTAAATTTACCTGCTTCGTTGAGAGCTATGATGGTTGTGATCTGAGCCGTTGCGTAGGAGCCCTTGCTTTGTGAACCGGTGTTGGGGTCAATCATGCAACCCCGTCTGAGTTCAACTATTATCTCGTACGTGTGGATTAGGTCTGCGACGATATTTGGATATGGCACGTTAGCCACACAGAATATCGAGCGAATCGGTTGACGGAGTGCAACGTTAAGGACGACTGCTTTTTCACCATAACTTTCGATACGGGTACAGTTTTCGACTTGAAGCAGAAGTTGCGGTGGCGTTAAGCTTGTTTTGCGTGGGGCTGAAGTCACAGAAATATCCGTGCCTGTGTCTACGAGGTATCTCGTGCCTTATGAGTGGTTGAATATGAATAGTCGGCGTGGAGTTACATTGCCATAAGTGTTCCCCGAAACTACTGGGAGCTGCCTGAGATTCCTTGATTTCGAGCATATGCACCTGTGTAGGCACGTGCTCCGAACTTGCGATGGTAGAAGCAAGTTGCTGATGCAGAGCTTGTAGATACCCCTCGAGTTATTTCGCAGCTTTTTATACCGATGAATGTCTAAATCAGATGCGGTTTGGTAAACTTTTTTGATAGCTTCTCAAACTGATTCGCTAATCTGTTGATTTGTTATCGTAAAAAATCGTTTATTGTAGTGGCAGAGTGGGAAATCAGCATAACGCACCGATTGTCCGAATCGCGTTGGATTTCCATCATTTTATTTGCTAGTTGAGCGAGTTTACCGTAATCAGTCTAGTTTGTAGAAGCAAACGTCAATGGCACCTGCAGCGTTGGTCCCTCTAGCCAAATGGTACGGACAAATGTGGCGTCAAGTTTGTTACCACCAAGTCTGTAAATCTTGGCAAGTAGTTCCGAAGGACGTCGCTCGCCAAGCTCCAAACCCGACAGTAAAATTTTGAATCGGCTTTCCTGTGAAATACCATATTGGCTAACAAAAACTTCTTTTAGTGTGGTATAGTTATCGGTTGCTGGAGGGTGTGAAATAATACACCCGAGAGCGTCTTGATCAAGACGGGCGATAACAGCAAAATATTTCGTAGCATTAGAAGTAATTCTCCTGAGTTGGAACTGGGCCTCGATCGCGGCTAACTATAGCTGCACCTGTTGGTTCCAGGAAGGAGGTAGTTCCAATCACCCGTATCTATTGACGTGTGCAGCAAATTTTTGAGGGTGGGAAGCTGCAGTTGATTCGTAAAACTCTTCGGTGGGTGCATTTTGTAATGCAGCACCACTGCCGCTGCCACCTGCAGAGTCCGCCTTCCCGGCTTCCATAATGCCTGCCACGTCGATTATCTGCTTAACTGAAGGGTCACCAAATGGTGGGCAATAACAATCACCAAATGAGTTTCTTACAATGCAAAGAATATATTTTTATTAATTAAAACACTTATTAGAACTATTCGCAATTAGTTTTGAGTAAAAATTCCTGAAGTAACCCCCTAAATTTTCGCAAAGTAACAAATATTGCAATAAGTATTTGCATTTCTTAGCTTGAGTATCCACAAATACATCAGCAAAATATTTCGCCAGTATTCGATTTTTTTATATACTTTTTTTTTAATTTAATATTTATGCACCTTATTTTTCCAATAATTATTGCAACCAAAGTTTTCATGCGATTTTTACGTACTCACAAAGTTTCATGAAAATCGCATGAAAGCTTTGGTCGCAATAATTATTACAAAAATAAGGTGCATAAATATTAAATTAAAAAAAAGTATATAAAAAAATCGAATACTGGCGAAGTATTTTGCTAATGTATTTATGGATACTCAAGCTAAGAAAGGCAAATACTTATTGCAATATTTGTTACTTTACGAAAAATTAGGAGGCCACTTCAGGAATACGCTTTTACAAGACAAGATATATAAGTGCCACTTACAAAAGTCTAGAAGTTTCTGAACACCAGCGTGGGAAATCTATAAGTTCAAACTTGCAACCGAAAAAGGAAAAACTTACGAATCTATTTGTAAAGAGAATAGTAAAAGTCCCATCAAAAAGCAAGTGCTGCCAGATGCGTCAAACTGCGTTCCCACAGCTGCAACAACAATTGCACGCAGTTTGCCAAAAAAAAATTTGCATAACATCGACCTTAAAGGTGCGGTTAAACGTACCAATGAGAGCACTTTTTCTACGAATTTTGCTGTCAAAATGCGAAATGGAAAGTCTACTTTCCCATGAAAACAGCCAGAAACCCCTCTTGTAGATTTGCAAAAATCACTTTCGGAAATAAAAATTGCAAGGTGTAACTGCAACTGAAATTACGCAAATCGCTTTGGGGAAATAATTTCAAATTGTTCGTGCTGCACTAGCAATTTTCATTTTTGCTGCAAGTGCTGTCAAACCAAACGAGTGTTGCCATGTGACACGTTTTTTGGCAAATTTTTATCAAATTATAAAAATGTTTAATAAAATATGATAAACACGCGTAATTTAAATATTAATGTATTACAGGCCAACCTAATATTTACGCACGCCGTCAGTTTACTGTCAAAAATTTCTCATGCACATACAACTTGTATGGGATTAACGAAAATTGAACGGCGTGCGTAAAAAGCTTACTCAAATTCCAAGATTTGTGTTGCGTGACATTTCGATTTGACGTTTGTGCCACACACGTGTCACACGGCCACACTCGATTGGTTTGACAGCAGCAAAAATGAAAATTGTTAGTGCAGCACGAGCAAGTTGCAATTATTTTTCGAAAGCGATTTGCGTAATTTCAGTCGCCGTTACACCCAGCGATGCCAGGTTGACGTTTTTAACGTCATTTGGACGTTTTTTGTATCCCGTTGACGTTTGGACGTTTTGGTGTAAAAAATGACGTTTTTAACTTCCCTGTAATTTTTTTTTTTGACGGTAAGTGTCTTGTAAGTAGAACTGATTTTGAATTACTTTCTTAAAAAATCTTTACAAGCTTTGTGTTTTGCAGCAGCTGCTTTGGACACAGATGACTTAAATATGATGCAAACCAAGCGTAGGCGCACTTTTTTTCGGATCTTGGACTAAGGGTCCCTTGTTCAAAGGCTGGTTGTGTAAACACTTGAGGTTACCAGGCTTATTGTAATGTTTGCAATAGGCACATTAAACGCCAAATCAGGAAAAGCTGATCTATTGCAACAGGGACGCTCGCAAAAGCATCAAAAAAGCTGTAGCGGCATAAAAAGTCAGAAAAACAAGGCGACTTTTTTAAGACTTCATTGAAAATGTAACGAGCAATTGTAATTTAGCATTTTCGACAACCGACCCACTAACCAAATGTCTACAAGAAAAAAATAAATATTAAAAATCAACGCGATTATTTAGCCCATTCAAACTTGCACATTATTGCCCTGAAATTTAATGCGCTATCAACCTGCATACTCAAAAAAATTAAAAAAAACCAGAATCAACTGAAACATTACAGATATTTTATAATTTTTGCACAAAGTTTGAAATGTGGATTTATATTTTATTTGTTATATAATGAGCTTGGCTTTTATGGAAAAATAATANGTATAAGAGAAACCTGCATACTCAAAAAAATTAAAAAAAACCAGAATCAACTGAAACATTACAGATATTTTATAATTTTTGCACAAAGTTTGAAATGTGGATTTATATTTTATTTGTTATATAATGAGCTTGGCTTTTATGGAAAAATAATAAACAAATAAACAAAAGAGAAACAGCCAAAATCGATCGAAANTATTAAGACCTTTTCGCTGGAGATGATATTTTTCAATTTTGAAAGTGCTGCTTCGCAGTTGACCAATAATACTTTACGTGTTTTCGTAGTAATAGACGTAATGGGTATGTTATTGACGACAAATTCGGTGTAAATCGGGCGTAATAAGTCACCTGGCCTAAAAATTTCCTGACTTCGTCAGCAGAAACTGGACGTGGCATTTCAGTGATCGCTTGAACTTTCGATGGAGACTTCGAGATTTCGTTGAATTGAATAACATAGCCATGATATTCTACGCGTGTTTGAAAAAAAGAACATTTATTCTTGTTTAGGTGCAGATTACGCTGTTTTAACAGTTGGAGGCAATTAATCAAGTTTTCCTTACACTCTGCTTTCGTAGCTCCGTGTATAATGATGTCATCGAAATACGACATTGTGTTTTTCTGGCCGGACAATATTTGTTCGATTATATGGTTGAATTCTGATGGGGCGGTTTTAATACCGAACTACAATCGGTTTACCCTGAAAGTACGCTTATGTGTTGATATGGTCTGCATTTCACTAGATTCTGGGCACACTCGAAGGTGTAAATAAGCTTTAAAAAGATCAAGTCGACAAAAATATTTCGATCCTTTAAGGGCCGTTTGCACCATGTCTAGTTAACGCTAAGGGTATGTAGTATTTCGTCGATTCGGCGTATTGGGTAGTTTGAAGATACTAACTGTGGGTTGACTCCTATTTTGTAATCGACACAGATCGTCTTATCCACGTTCGGCCTAGGAGAGCATCATAGCCATCCGGTACAACATACATATCTTCTTCTCAACAATGGTTATTGTATTTAACTACCACTTTGATTTTACCGTCATGTATTACTATATTTTTAGTGTATGATCGAAAAGCGATAGTTGAAGGCTGCAGTTTAGTACTGATATCGAGACGTCTGAATTTATTTCGCGGTAATAACGTGAATCCATCACCTGAGTCGACCTCAAATTTTTGACGGTGCCCGTTTATTTCCACGTTTACGTAATACTTTTCCATATCATTACCGGAATGCTGGTTGGAGTGGATGTCGATTATTTGATTTATACCGTAAACTTGATGAATCGAGTCATCAAACTCGACTTTTAAGAAAATCTTCTAGGGGTGTATTGTCTCGATGTCTACTTTACTCAAACAATATGACAATTAATGCATATTCTCATTTGGCCAACGTTCGTTGGGTCCGATGTCGCAAGGGCTGCCAATCTGACGCTCCCTATCAAAACACACATACGGCGCGTTTACAAAATATCGAACGTGAGCGTTGATTTACAAGTTGCAGAAATGCGCATTTCGCGCGAGCTATTTGAGCTAAAAACAAAAAAGTAAAAAAGAAGAGACAAAATTACATACACATCAGCTTCTCTTTAATTATTATAGTTATTTTGTTATGAATTTGTCTTCTTTCTTGCACAAGACGTCAAAATTATTGTCTGCATACGTCAAATCATTGTCCGATTTACTGTCTTCAAAATAATCAAGACAGTGATTAACGGCGCGTTTACATTAGACAATGCTGTAAAGACAATAAAGAAAAACGCATTAATTGTCAAAAACGCTGATCATTGTCTCCGTGGCGTAGGCGTCCTTACAATAGTTATTACAATTCATTTTGAGCAAAAAGTTGGACGTGAAACGCATTTCGAGCGAGCTATTTAAGCTAAAAACTAAAAAATAATAAAGAAGAGACAAAGTTACACATCAGCGTCTCTTGTG